TCTCCCCGCCCAAAGCATTTCTTCTGTTTTCCCCCTATTTTGCGGCCAGTTTTTCTTTTATCCCTTTAAAATATTTTTAAAAAAGAATTCATTAAAATATTACAACATTACTGGAATGGGATGAATATAAAAAAATTATCAAGGACAGGGTTGATACTATTTGTATTAAAAAAAATCCCCTAATTCTTCTCTCGCTCCCTCTCTCTTAAAAAGACAAACTTTGGAAAAGTCGTGGATTCTCAATTTCAGAGGATCCATTCCCTATAAAATTGAGGTACTTTATTTTTGAGTAACTGATATAAATAAAAAAATTTGATACAAAAAGAAATTGATTTGTTTTTTGATCAAGCGCCAACTGCCAACTGTTGGGATCATACTCTGAAGTTATGGCATGTGGACCAATTAAAATGCCCCATGTATATGTATTGTCATGTCAATATCAAACAACAGCAAAAGTATATTATTATTTTCTCTGCCCCATATGTACATTGTCATGTCAATAACAATAACCAAAAATATATTAATATTTTCTCTTCAAAAAACCAGTTAAAGAAAAAAAAAATCTTATTTCGTTTTCTTATAAAAAGTTTGTCCCCCTTAAAATAGTACTGTTAAAGCACAGATTATAAGAGAAGCCATGGACGCAGCCGTGGTCAAGATTTCCATATTAATATCAATTACAAAAAAGTTATTGTACTCTTAGGTCATAGAGAACCACACTCATCATCTTTCAGCTAATAGAAATGACTCACAGACTTATCATATTTACCAAAAATGTAAGTAAGATACTTGAGCTTTACTGGGCCAGGAGACCACAACATAGTATAATTTTCCTTATACCGAAATACGCGTATCTCACATAAATTTTTGTTTGAAAAACAAAAGCAAATATTCTCATGCCAAAAGAAGAATAAGGTGTTTGTTCATATAACTTCCCAATAATAGAAAGAGAAGCTCGCAACTCTAATCAATATAGTAAATGGTCTGCTTCGCTAGATAAGGTCAAAATTCTATTAATATTTTCCTATAAATATGCGTTTGTATTTAAAATGTTAAAATTAAATTGATGTCAATGCAAAAATTCTCAAGCACTCAAGTCAATTGCAATAATTAGTGTGTGTGTATATATATATATATATATATATCGTTGACAGAGATTAAAACATCACAGTTTATTGTTTTTGAAAAATAAAAATGAAAGACGAAAGTGGAGATGTTGAGTGATACTAACTGTTGCAACTGGGAAATGAATTGTTTAAAAATGCTCACTTGCATCAGATGGATCAAGTTAATTAATTCCTCATTTAGTTAATTAATTGGTACAAGACAAACGAGATTGTAATCCATTAAGTGCAAGAACCAATAAGTTAGTGATAAAATCCAAACCTCAAAATGACCCACCACCAAATATGTATATATATGATATGATCTTCCATGTTGGTCAAAAAGGAAGCCATCTTTCAGTGGAAAATGATAGAACGCGATGAGTCCTCTCTGTCTTCAAAATGGCACACTCACTTTTCTACTTGTAATATTTAGCAAAATCCTATGCCCATCTTTTCATCATCATCTCCAATAACTTGCATCGTCAATGTTGGAGAAAACTTGTGGATTTGATATATATCTTATTTATATAAGAACGCACATGGAATAATAACTCCATTATCTGTAAATCTTACAAAAGAATATTCAAATTCATATATATGATGCTCTTCGAAGAGTTGTTGTTGTTGTTATTACTTTATTTACTGGCTACTTAATTCTTTAAAAAGTATCTTTATTTTATTGGAGGGATTGATCAATTATATATAATAACTTCGAGAGGTATCGGTGGCTTGTAACTTTGATACTATAAGAAAAGTTTGACATTTAAATTTTTTAATATTATTACTACTTTATATGTGTTCTTAATTAAGCTGGAACATTAAGCTGCTTAATTGTATATAGATATATGCAGCTAGGCAAAGCTCCTCAATAATTGCAAATTAAAGGAACGTGTCGTTTTCACTTTTCACTACCATCCCAGTTGCTACACAGCCAAGGCGTCGTATCACCTCACATAGTATAATTAAATTAGGAAAAAAATAAATAGCATGGATCTCCCATGTGCCCTCCAATCACAATCAATCCAATGGGGTCGGGGATCTAATGTGCCATCTCCAATGCATTTTTTTAATGTCTTTCGCAATGTTCTAATTTTTCAAATTTTTTTAATTATTAAATTTTATATGAGTAACATTTTGATATCTTACCATAATAATGCAGCTTTAAATTTTTTTATTTTTTAAAAAATAATAATGCAGAATTTTTTTTTTTTAAAAGTTAAAACTACATCATTTCATCTTTATAAGATATCAAACTGTTACTTATATAAAATTTAATGATTAAAAGAAAAAATTGATAAAGAAGAAAAATTTTTTAAGAGGTTGGGACGTTAAAAAAATACTTAAAAAAAAAAAAAGAAGTCACATTAGAGGCCCCAAAGCTCAATCCATATATGCATATTACAGTAACCAAAATAAAAAGGGAGAAATGGAGAATCTTAAGTACAACTTCTAATCAATTCTATCATAATTTACTGCATTTAATAAATAATGAGAGATCCTTCGCTAAAAATAAATAAATAATTAAAATAAATAATGAGATCCATGGTATAACAGTCAAAGCAGATGACGAGTGATGATAAATATTATCGTTAAATTTTTCCGTAATTAATGAAATCGATAGTCTAAAACAAGATATTGTTTTCGTTATATAAATCAGTTAAAGAATGAAATTGTTCTCAGCTAAACATAGTAGTTTCTTCTCTTCCTTTCCAATCCTTTTCTCAGACATGCGCTATAATTAGTCAAAATTTATACTAATTTCAAAATTTAAATTTGGATTTGAAAAAACGAAAGTCCAAGTCAATGTTGCCTCCAATATTCTCATATAGTTATATTCAACCAATTACTATGGTAATTAAGGTTTGACCTTAGCTCAGGAAGGTCTTTAATTTGACGATGATGTTGATTCACATATTGGATGTGGGAGTTTTCTTTTTCTTCAAAAAACATTGAAGGAAAAAATTGATCCTTTTTTTAATAATTCTTCCTCAACGAAAAAAATAATTAAAATGTCAGCTATCACCTTAAAATATCAACGAATAATGAATGCGAACGCGTGGCCCGGGGCTTCTTTTATATGTCCAAAAAGTTAAAAGGATAATGTTTTTTTAACTTTTTTTTTGGCCAGCGGATAACGTTTTCTTTTACTGAGCGAACTTAATTAATTTGATAAGAATTTTTTTTCTCACAATTTTCTATCATATCAAACAAACCAAATAGCCCCAAACTCATGCATAAATAATTACTTTTATTTGTTTTTGCCCACCTATCTATATAAAGGATCATTTAAATGTTTGCCAAAAAACAAAAAGATCATTTAAATTTCATAAAAAAGGTCATTTAAATCTTTCGACCCTTGCAGCTTTCAGGACATTAAATAGCCAACTCATCTTTTCCTACCCCTTCATCTCTTTTCTCTCTTTCATTAGATTAAATTTAATTAAATTAAACAGTACAAATTTAACCTTTTAAAAAATGTTATTGAGATGATAAAATCTCAACAAAGTAAATGACTATAGAACGTCATAGTTTAATTTAATATAAAGGATTAGAATTAAAATAAGAGGAGGAAGAAGAAGAAAAATAAAATTGCCCTTCAACTTCCCCTCCTTGTCTCTCAATATTTGATATTTGACAGCACCATTAGTTATGTCCCTAATAAATACGTACATCATAATAGTGTTGTGTTCTCGAATAATTATTTGCTTTGTTCTCCCTCCTCCTCACAATTTGAATCAATTTTTTTTTTTGACCTGACACAATTTGAATCGAATTAAGTAAAACTCATCTTTGTAACCAACAAATATGGATTCCAATGAAAGGATTCATATACTCTCCTGAACATGAGGTTTTGAATTAAGTTCTTGCGAATGGAAATGACAATTTTTAGATATTGTATGAAAGAACCTCATTATTATGTGTTTTGTTTAAAAAGGTCTTAAATTATAATTAATAACATAAGTTGATGAGTAATTCATTCATATTTTTACAATGTAATTCATGCAACACGTACGGCAGAATAGTATGATTTTAAAGTTTAAAAGTATGTCAAAACAATGTATTGCCATAGGAGTCTTAATATTATCTAAGTTTTTTTTTTCCTTTTTATAAAGAGAGATTATCAGTAGCAACACTCTTGATTTTTTCCAAAGAAAAACGCTGTCTATGCCTCTTGGAAGAGCATGAAAAAGTTAACATATATATGTTTAGTATTATTTTACAAAATAATTACTTGTAAATTACTATGTGACTAATGAATTTATATACCCATGGCATATAATCAAATGCATTTTTTAATACTTATGTTACAATTATAATTTTGAATATTGTAAATGGGTCATGTTTTCTCTATTCATAAATGACATATATATGTATATATAATGTTAACTATGAGATGCATCTATGTTAGTAAAAGATCTCTCGCAGTATATGATGATGAGGATGTTGATGCAGTTCGATAACTAACTGCTCACATACATAACATGATTTGGTATTTGGAAAGTATCAGAAGTGTTTCTAAAAAAATACTTTTTCACAAATCAAAATAAATTTCTCCACATATTTATTTCATATGCAGTAAAAAGACTTTTAAAATCATAATTTTGATTCCATCCAAACACTTCTTTAATGACTGAGAATAACTAACAGCAAAGTGACAAAATTGCCCCAGGGAAACGTTATACAGGCTACAAGGCCAAACACAAGTACCATAAAGCTGGGGACCGATTCTTTAGTATATCCTCTGCGCCTACCCTGCAAAATGCCCTCTCCTAGGCCCCTCCTCTACAAAAAAACGCTCAAAAATTCAAAAAAATTAAAGCCCACAGTGGAGTGAGAAATTAACAATTTGACATCCCTCTATATATACAAGATTCCAACCTTTGCTCACCCAGAAGCGGCCTTGGCTTTTCCTTCATCCCTTCCTTCAAACTTATTACTCTCTCTCTTCCCTCTCTCTCTCTTCTTCCACCATAGCTAGAAGCTCCAGACAGACGTTAAAGTAATGGCAATTGACTGCATAACAAACGTTCCCTCCATGCCTCACCCACCAAAACATGGAACCAAAGAAGAGAAAGAGGAAGAGCCTCTGGTTTTCGATGCCTCTCTTCTCAGGCACCAACATCATCTTCCAAAGCAGTTTATATGGCCTGATGAAGAGAAGCCATGCTTGAATCCTCCTGAGCTTGTTGTTCCACTCATAGACCTCAGAGGGTTTCTTTCTGGAGACCCTTTTGCAGCCATGGAAGCTTCTAGACTTGTGGGTGAGGCATGCAGAAAGCATGGCTTCTTCCTTGTTGTTAACCATGGGATTGATTCTAGATTGATCTCTGATGCCCACCGTTTCATGGACGACTTCTTTGAGCTTCCCCTGTCTCAGAAACAGGGAGCTCAGAGAAAACCAGGGGAGCCCTGTGGCTATGCTAGTAGCTTCACTGGCAGATTCTCCTCTAAACTCCCCTGGAAAGAGACGCTCTCTTTCCAATTCTCAGCAAACAAACACTCACAAAACCTCGTCAAAGATTACTTATGCCAAAAAATGGGCCACGAGTTCGAGCAATTCGGGTAATCATATTGGTTTCATCAAATATATATATATTGTTGTTGTTATATATGCTCTTCGTGTTCATCTGTTGACTGAGTAAATGATTATCGTTAAACAGGATGGTTTATCAGGAGTATTGCCAAGCCATGAGCGATCTTTCTTTGGTTATAATGGAGCTTTTGGGAATGAGCCTCGGAGTTGGGAGAACGTGCTTTAGGGAATTCTTTGATGAGAACAATTCGATAATGAGGCTCAATTATTACCCACCTTGTCAAAAACCAGACCTCACTCTAGGCACTGGTCCTCACTGTGATCCAACCTCTTTAACTATTCTTCACCAAGACAAAGTGGGTGGCCTCCAAGTTTATGTCGACAATGAGTGGCACTCCATTAGCCCTAATTTCAATGCTTTTGTGGTCAATGTTGGCGACACCTTCATGGCATGTTCTTGATTTTCTTTTTCCTTCTATTTTTCGTTTTCTTCTCACATTCGATGTTCAGCTCGTGGCAAAACATTCTTTTCCAGGTCTTGCCTGTTCTTCTAGAATTTCATACACGATGTGACTAACTTCTAAACCCTTTTTTGTCTTTCTGATATAGGCTCTTTCAAATGGGAGATACAAGAGTTGCTTGCATAGGGCAGTTGTGAACAGCCAAACAACAAGAAAATCTCTTGCCTTCTTTTTGTGCCCGAGAGATGATAAGGTGGTGACTCCACCAAGTGAATTAGTGGACCATGTGAGCCCAAGGATGTACCCAGATTTTACATGGCCTATGTTTCATGAGTTCACTCAGAAACATTACAGAGCAGACATGAACACCCTCAAGCAATTTACCGACTGGGTTCAACGAAACAAGTCCTGAAATCTCAGAGGATAATACTAGTCTGTTGGATTTTAACACTCTCAACAGAAAACAGAGGAGTTTTGGTGAAGCAGGGGAGGGAGGGAGAAGTGAATGTTTTTGTGTAATGAAGGGAAAGAGGGAATGTACAAGAGTGATAAGAAATGAATAAAATGATTTTGTAGCCTTTATTAGAAGATATAGAATGATTGTTGACTGCAATAATTTTGTGTCTTCATGTAATGTGCATAATATGAATAAGTGATATGGTAAATCTATGCCACTTTTTTTTTTCCCAATAGAAAAGCAGCCCTTCTTTCTATTTGCTTTATAGCAAGGAGGACCTACTTGGTACAAGAAGTTAAAGCCCACCCATAAGTCATGAGATCATGTAGGATTCTTCACCGCTGATCACTGTCCTAAACTTCATTTAATTATTAGAAAATATCAACCAAATAGGCCGTCGATCTTTGATAAGTGCTTTAAGAGAGGGAGTTGTCTACCTTTTCCCCCTCATTCTTTTGTTTTTTTCTTCTTTGTAAAGAAAAACTGCTTCTAATTTGAATTTGTGACAATGTACCTAATTACACATTACAACTTCTTTTTGGCTCCCAATGAACACAACCCTATAGGGTTAGTTTCTTTTAATTCATTGTTGAAAAGGGTTTATGCTTCCAATGCTTCAAACAGTACATAATTCTTATTTTCTTGGTTTGATTATCTGCTAAATGGAATGAAATGGAAAAGTGAATGTAATTAAGGAGGTGTTTGACAACCCTTAAAAGTGCTTCTAAAAAGCATTTTTCTACAAAAACAAGACAAACTTCTTCACATATTTACTTTGTAAACTGTAAAAATACTTTTGAAACTATGGTTTGGTTTCCATCCAAAAACCTCCTAAAATAGAAATATAATAAAATTGCATATCTTTTCAGGTGGTAAAGATGATGAGGGATGATGGTAGAGGTCAAAGATTCAAACCTCTGGATATATTCAAAAAGGTGTACATCTTGGCGTCTGTGAGAAGAAAAAAACAATTAACTTTCTCTTAAGACTATCAAACTAGGACCTTTATGTATTGATATTTTCCTAAATAACCCATTTTAGGGAACCAAACAAAGATTATTAGCGTGACTAATTAACAAAAAATGACAATTTGCTAATGAATCCTATGTTCCAGCTCCAAGTGCAGCAATATAGGTTATTTCTTTATTATGAAGCTCTTGGAGCTATTAAGGAATAAGGTCAAAAAACCAGCAAATAACTCCAAAATAACAGGTGGCCCACAGTTTGAATGATTCGTAGTTACTGGGGAACAAAAATCCACAGGGGAATTGTTTTGGTTTTTATTAGTATTTAGATGTATGATGCCTGGAAATTTGGAGGCTTATGCAAATTGGACGCAGAAGAAATACTGTCTTTAAATGCTGCAACATTCCTCTGCAGATTATTTTTTAATCTTTATCCTTCACTGGGAAGAAGAAAATATATAAATAAATAAAGCAAAAGCAAAATGAAAATGATAATATGCGGTCTCCCTGATGAGTCCTTTCATAATAATTCTGTCTAGCTAGGCCCCCCAAACTATATGCAGATGCAAAATCCATACTTATATTTCAAAGTAGAGTATTGATTTACAGATAACCTAGAGTCGCACTAAATGAAATATATTAATTAATATTTAATATTGATATAAGAAGTAATAAGGGTTAATATTATTACATATAGAAATTAATGATGTAGTAATTATTTTTTCTCCCCCCACAAAGGAAAGGCATATATAGCCGCCACAAGTAAGGACAATGACAGTCCCATTCCTCTACTTCCTTCCAAAAGGCCCGCATCACGTGCACTCCATTTCTTGTTTCTTCTTGCAATCCAACTCTTCGATTTTCATTATTTTCATAATATATTGTGTTACAGGATAAACATACACACACACACACACACAAATGTAAACATTTGCAGTGTTCAGGGACAACTATAAAACCCCTCGAAAAACGACACTTCTTAGGATTTCTGTATTGGATACCTCCTTCTCACTCAATTTATGACCTGTACCATCATCATTTATCCTTTGCCTCACATCTTTGTTTTCTTCTTCTCCTCCCACTGTTTCCCTCTTTATTCTGTTTTCTCAAAATAATTCCAGTTTGAGATAGCTCTCCTCCATCAGCAGATCCCTCCTTGCATGTGATCTTTTATAAATATATATATATATATATATATATCCTTGGACAAATCAAATTAGTTTAATGATGCAGGGTTTTATATATGTTCCAGAAGTTATAAATCAGATCTCTAAAACCTCTCTGAACAAATATATATGTATACATAATTAAAGTCGACTCATCATATCAGAAGCACATAATTAACAACCGATTAAGTAATCTAAAACAATCATTGTTAATGCACGATTTAATCTCTCTTAAACAGGAGAAAAATAATGAAGTGAAGAAATAGAAGAGATCGAGCATTTTATTAGTCGGGGAATTCAACAGTGTAGAGAGGACAAAACATGTGGTTGTTGTTAGTGATGATTGAGTTATTATTTATATATGGCTAGGAGGAAGACGATACAGTGAGAAAAACAAAACCAACAATCAATAATTATAACAACTGTATAATAGGCACAAAATTTGTAGTTTTTAACTTTCATATACGCCACACACACATATATTAATTATTACACTTGAATCTCCAGTATTATCTGTTTGAATTGAAAGTCTATCTGCTAGCCTCCGTTCTAAGGCTGTGTTGCATATATTCTTGCTGCTTCTCCTCCTACTGATTGAAATTATATGTTTGTGCAAACCACAAACAGCTATCAATGATTAAAAGACATGAATCTCTTGTAGAAGAATTGGACACGGCTAGTTACACCGAACCCAGTTTGATTATTGAATTTTATGCGTGTGTGTGTGTTTTTTGTTATCTAATTCCAAAGATCTGGCTTACCTTCACTTGATATTTGCTTATTTCGAAAATATTATATTCAATTCCCTCAGACCCTAACATCTATACAATAAATCTATAGAAAGCTGTATGC